CTTCCAGGTCACTTATCCTTTCTTCTGCCACAGTTATTCTGATACTGATTCCTTCCACTGTATTTTTCATTTCAGTTATTGTATTGTTCATGTCTGTTTGTTCTTTAATTCTTCTAGGTGTTTGTTCTTTAATTCTTCTAGGTCTTTGTTAAACATTCCTTGCATCTTCTCAATCTTTGCCTCCATTCTTTTTCCAAGGACCTGGATCATCTTCACTATCATTATTCTGAATTCTTTTTCTGGGTGGTTGCCTATCTCCACTTCATTTAGTTGTTTTTCTGGGGTTTTATCTTGTTCCTTCATCTGGTACTTAGTCCTCTGCCTTTTCATTTTGTCTGTCTTTCTGTGGATGTGGTTTTTGTTCCACAGGTTGCAGACTTGTAGTTCTTTTTGCTTCTGCTCTAGCCATGTTGATTTTTTATTGTTGTTGTTCTTAGAAACCATTCCCAGCTAAGGCCTTTGCTCAAGTATACCCCCTTCGGTAGACCACTATTTCCCCTACATTTTACATGGCCGGATCCTTCTTCACTTGTACTCAGCTTGCCATTGCCTCAGAAAAACCCACTCTGACTACTCAACCTAAAGTAATTTTCCTCTCCTCCTTTCCATTATTCTCCATAATAATATGTATATATACATTTACATATATGTGAAATTCATTTACATATATAGGTATACATATATATGCACTTCTTTCCTTAATTGTTTTTTGTCTGTCTCTTTCACTAGACCAGAAGATCCATGAGAGTATAGACCATATTTGATTTGTTTTTCACCATTTACCCAGAGCCTAGCACAGTGTCTGATACATATAGTAGGCAATCAATACATATTTGTTGAATGAATGAGTGAATGAAAGGACAATCACCTAATTATCTTAGGTATTCATGTTGTTGGGGATGTTTTTTCTCAGTATTTTGACAAAGGGATTTGATTCTTGTTTTTATCTTTTTTTTCCTTTATAAGGAGAATGGAAATTGTGTCCTCTGCCTGCTGATATTAGTGATCATCACAAAGGAGACAAATATTAATAAGAGTAAATCAATAGACAGTAAAAACAATATCTAGATCCATGTTACAATGACAATAATTTAAAGAGTCCCATACTTTAAAAATTAGACTATCTCTACCCAAAAAGTTTTATAGCATCCTAAGAATGATAATTTTACTCCCACTTAGGAATCCTAAAAAAAAAAAAAAGAAGAAACTAGAAACAAAGTAGTATGAAGTATGTGTTCCATAGATTACAAGAATTTAGTGAGAAAAAAATTCAGTCATGCTGCCGTAAGGAATGTTATCAAATAAATATTGTGTGCTACATTCATAATTTTTGTTTCTGTTCAGCAAAAAACCTTATAATGTGCAATGACTGTAGTTATATAAATCTTATTCCCAATCACTAGATTTTCACTTTATGAAGTTAAAAAAAAGATAACCTCTCACTCCCCCTAAAGAATAAACAGTATATCCAGAAAGCAGAATCTCTTTAGGGATCTCCTATAAAACTTCACTATGATAGATGTTTGCCTGAAATACTTGGAAAACTGAATTTATACTTTTTACTCACTCTAACGAGATCTAAATCACAGTATTTACACATCCTTCTCTAACTTTTATGATCCTTTTTTTTTTTTAGAGAGATGTTTATTCAAGGCCTTTGCCCATTTTATTTTATTTTATTATTTATTTATTTTTGGCTCTGTTGGGTCTTTGTTGCTGCATGCGGGCTTTCTCTAGTTGTGGTGAGCAGGGGCTACTCTTTGTTGCGGTGTGTGGGCTTCTCATTGTCATGGCTTCTCTTGTTGCGGAGCACGGGCTCTAGGCGTGCGGGCTTCAGTAGTTGTGGCACCCGGGCTCTGTAGTTGTGGCTCATGGGCTCTAGAGCGGAGGCTCAGTAGTTGTGGCACACAGGCTTAGTTGCTCCGCAGCATGTGGGATCCTCCCAAACCAGGGCTCGAACCCATGTCCCCTGCATTGGCAGGTGGACTCTTAACCACTGCGCCACCAGGGAAGTCCCTATGATCCTTTTAATGTAGAAATTTTCTTATGACATCATGAAGTTTCCCAAGCAACCTCATGCTTTTGTGATGCCATACAGATTTTATCTTCCCACTTCCCATCCTATGTTGCAGTCCTGAATGAGGTTAATACATGATATCATGGGGCATGATACAAAGAAATAGGCAAATGATTGCAATGGTATGGAGGCATGGGTTGTCATTCCAAGGTGGTAGGGCAATTCATGAGGTCATAAAGGGTAGGGTGTGGCCAGGGAAATTCAAGAATGGAGGGGAAGATTGTTGGTATAGTTCATGTTATCACAAGAGAGGTTTTAAGCATAAAACTTGATGCTTAAAGGAATGGGCAAACTGCAATTACTAGAGGGTGGTACAAAATAGTTCTTCACAAGAGAAAGAGATTGAGTCCTTATTTGGGAATCCAGTAATGTCAGGAGACGGAACAGTCCTTCATTCCTTTAAGTATGATATCATAGAAAACTAAAAAAGTTAACCAACTGGTGCCCAGGGGTAGAATCAGACCCATAGACATGTTGTTTGACCTGCTTATAGGGTTGGGGTTTTTTCCAACTAGTTACCAAGTCACAAGTTCCCATAATAAAAATCAGCATTTCTGGCTTCTCTCTTGAAAATATTGGAGTTCTGACAGTCCTTAGCTTGTATTCCTACATGGCAACAACTGGCTGGAGCAAAGTAACAGCTTCCCTCTTTGGACAAGGCAGATACTTATTAGTTTACAATCCCACTTAGCCAGCTTTACTCATATTATCCACCTAGCACTTGTAGGCTTTTAAGTTTGTGACACTAGTTTGGGGAATTCCATATAACAAAGAGGTGAGTCAATGTTGTAGGAGGGGAAGGTAATCTATGACATAAGGTATAGAGACCTTGGAAAATTCATTGTGACAAGAGTAGAAGCAGCAGGATGTTTATATCCTGCCATTTTAATCCCAATAATATTCTTTCTGATTCTGCCACTCTGACCTCAGAGGATTTTGCCTCCATTATGCAGTCTATGTATTAATCAAGGAATTAAACTGGATCGATGGAATTTAATTCATAAGATACTTTCCTCCCAAATTCACTAATGTTGACATAATTTTTATTATATATTTGTATATTGTCGAGTGTCCTTTGTGTCAAACATCCATGGGTCAAGTTTAGAACAAATCTCATTATCCCTAAGTGGTATAAACCATTATGTCTCCAAAGAATAAGACATTCCATAGCATCATCAACTGTTTGTCCTTGGGGCATCCTATTCTCCTCACTGCCTGCATGCCTTGGCACAGACTGCTTCTTTTCTTGTAATGTTTTTCTCTCTCACTAAACTAGTCATTTTTCAAAGAACAGTAGAGAAATCACTTTCTCTAACTATACCTTCCTAGCATTAAAAAAAAAAATTCTGGGACTTCTGGGGTGGTGCAGCAGTTAAGACTCCATGCTTCCAATGAAGGGGGATCACGGGTTCAATCCCTGGTCGGGGAATTAAGATCCCACATGCCGCATGGCGTGGCCAAAAAAAAAAAAGAAAGAAAAGAAACAACTCGTTTATTAGGCTCTCATAGAATTTTGAAGATACCTTTATTAAAGAACTTATACCTTTATTTTAGAACTGCAGTAGTTTTTTTTAATTTATTAATCTTCTTGGGTAGAATTAAAGACGGTGACTTACTTAAAGGCAGTAGTTTCGTTTCTCCAGGGCCTAGCAATCTAAAGACATTTAATAAATGTGTTGAATGAATGGTCATAAGCAAGTATAGAAATCTACTAGGTCAAAAGGTTATGGGGGGGACTTCCCTGGTGGCGCAGTGGTTAAGACTCCGTGCGCCCAATGCAGGAGGCCCGGGTTCGATGCCTGGTCAGGGAACTAGATCCCACATGCGTGCTGCAACTAAGAGTTCTCATGCCACAACTAAGGAGCCGGCGAGCCATCAGAAACCAGGCCTTGGCCCTAATCTGGGTTAGTCAGGAGTTGTTTGGTTTCTACGTCAAGGTGGACTGGCACATAACTATGTTCTGAGTTGGACTGATCTCTTAGCTGAGGACATGTTTGTCTATCTGTGTCGACACAACTCTGGGTACAACATTATACTGAGATGGTACTGGCTGGGATTCTGGCTGGACTGTAAACTGGTTTCTGAACTGATGTGCTAGGATTGGTCAGTGCTTGCTTTGGCAGCACATATACTGAAATAGGATTGGTCAGCAGGTCTAATCTTGGATATGGGTTCCAGTTTAGTCTATGGATCAGTCTGGCACTTTCCTTGGCAATGGAATTAGCCCATAACTGAAATCATGAACTAAATAACAGGTGTGAGTTGATATCTCATTGTGGTTTTGATTTGCATTTCTCTGATGATTAATAACGTTGAGCACCTTTTCACGTACCTGTTGGTCATTTGTATGTTTTCTTTGGAGAAATATCTATTCAGAACCTTTGCCCATTATTTTATTGAAGTATGGTTGATTTACAATGTTGTATTAATTTCTGCTGTATAGCAAAGTGACAGTTATACATATATATACATTCTTTTCTGTATTCTTTTCCATTATGGTTTATCACAGGATATTGAATACAGTTCCGTATGCTGTACAGTAGGACCTTGTTTTTTATCCATTCTATATATAATAGTTTGCCCCTTTGCCCATTTTTTAATTGGGTTATTTGGTTTTTTGCTATTGAGTTTGATGAGTTCCTTATATTTTTTCAATATTAACCCCTTATCAGACATATGATTTGCAAATATTTTCTCCTACTCCATAGGTTGCCTTTTCATTTTGTTGATGGTTTTGTTTTCTGTGCAGAAGCTTTTTAGTTTGATGTAGTCCCACTTGTTTACTTTTGTGCTTATTGCCTTTGCATTTGGTGTTAAATCCAAAATATCTGTAAGCAGGTTTTAAACTCTAGTTTGTTAGTTTGCTTTTTGCCATGGAGCAAGTTAGTAATTCTGTTTTTGTTTTTGTTTTTGTTTTTTGCAGTACACGGGCCTCTCACTGTTGTGGCCTCTCCCATTGCGGAGCACAGGCTCCGGACGCGCAGGCTCAGCGACCATGGCTCACAGGCCCAGCCGCTCCGCGGCATGTGGGATCTTCCCGGACCGGGGCATGAACCCGTGTCCCCTGCATCGGCAGGCGGACTCTCAACCACTACGCCACCAGGGAAGCCCAAGTTAGTAATTCTGAAACTACCTTTTGTGCATTCTAAGACAGAGAAACTTAGTAAACATATGTGAATAATTTCTAGATTTCTCACTGTCAGAAATGAGTTCAAATATGGAAAGGAAGAAGGCTAGAATGAACCCTATGGTAATAGAGTGAAATTGAGGGAATCAGAATAAACTCAGGGTTCTATACAAATAGATGAATGGATGGCTGATTGGTAGTTAGTTCATTTCCTGGGTCCTCTGAAAAGCAGACATCAAGACAGGATTAAATGTGCAAGGAATTTATTAAGGGAAATGTCTTTGAGAGAGAAAATGGGTAGGGAGCCAGAGAAGGCTGGGAGATCTGTCAGACTGCAGTACAGCTCTGACCCTGAGTGAAGGATAGAAGGAAGGAAGGAAGGGAGGAAAGAAGGGAAGAAGGGAGGAAAGAGGGAAGAAGGAAGGAAAGAAGGAAAGGAGAGAGGAAGGGAGGGAAGGAGGAAGGAAAGACAGGAGGGAGGGAGGGAGGGAGGGATAAAGGGAGGAAGGGAGGAAGGGGGGAATGCTTAGACAGCCATGCAGCTCTAAGAAAACTTTTCCAGGCCATCAGGTAGCCTTCCAGCTGAAGTCTCCATAAGAAGAGTAACAAGTCTCCCAGGAAGGGGCCTACCTTAGTATCCTTGCTGTGCTCAGTCACTGGCTAGGGAAGCATGGCCTTGGCACAAACATAAGGATGAATTTCCAAGCACAACAGCAGAGGCCTACAGTCAATTATGGTCCCTGGAGTCAGAGACCTGAGAGCTCATAGCTGCCATAGTCCACCTATTGTGCCATGCAGACCTACACTGTACAGGGAGCACCTCCTCCATGCTGCCCGTGGGCCTCTCTTTCTGAGGGGAAACTTGCTTCCTGAGGGAGGTGTGTTGGAAGAGCTACAGCCTCTATTGCTGCATTTGATCTGAAGGCTTCATTTAGAACGCATCCTCTCCTTCCTCCACTATGCATTCTTTTTTTTTTTTTTTTTTTTTTTTTGCGGTAAGCAGGCCTCTCACTGTTGTGGCCTCTCCCGTTGTGGAGCACAGGCTCTGGACGCGCAGGCCCAGTGGCCATGGCTCACAGGCCCAGCTGCTCCGTGGCATGTGGGATATTCCGGACCGGGGCACGAACCCGTGTCCCCTGCATCGGCAGGCGGACTCTCAACCACTGCGCCACCAGGGAAGCCCATATGCATTCTTTTTAAAAAAAAAAAAACTTTATTGTAGTATAATTGCTTCACAATACTATATTAATTTCTGTTGTACACCAAAGTGAATCAGCCATATGCATACATATGTCCCCATATCCCCTCCCTCTTGAGCCTCCCTCGCATCCTCCCTATCCCCCCTCTGTAGGTCATTGCAAAGCACCGAACTTATCTCCCTGTGCTATACTGCTGCTTCCCACTAGCTATTTTACATTCAGTAGTGTATATATGTCGATGCTAGTCTCACTTTGCCCCAGCTTCCCCCTCTCCTAACCATGTCCTCAAGTCCATTCTCTTCGTCTACATCTTTATTCCTGCCCTGCCACTAGGTTCATCAGTACCATTTTTTTTTTTTAGATCCCATTTATATGTGTTAGCATACAGTATTTGTTTTTCTCTTTCTGACTTACTACACTCTGTATGACCATCTCTAGGTCCATCCACCTCACTACAGATAACTCAATTTTGTTTCTTTTTATGGCTGAGTAATATTCCATTGTATATATATGTGCCACATCTTTATCCATTCATCTGTCGATGGACATTTAGGTTGGTTCCATGTCCTGGCTACTGTAAATAGTGCTGCAATGACATTGTGGTACATGTCTCTTTTTGAATTGTGGTTTTCTCAGGGTATATGCCCAGTAGCGGGATTGCTGGGTCATATGGTAGTTCTACTTTTAGTTTTTTAAGGAACCTCCATACTGTTCTCCATAATGGCTGTATCAGTTTACATTCCCACCACCAGTGCAGGAGGGCTCCCTTTTCACCACACCCTTTCCAGCATTTATTGTTTCTAGAGTTTTTGATAATGGCCATTCTGACCAGTGTGAGGTGATTCCTCATTGTAGTTTTGATTTGCATTTCTCTAATAATTAGTGATGCTGAGCATCTTTTCATATGCCTCTTGGCCATCTGTATGTCTTCTTTGGTGAAATGTCTATTTAGGTCTTCTGCCTATTTTTTAATTGAATTGTTTGTTTTTTTGATATTGAGCTCCATGAGCTGTTTGTATATTTTGGAGATTAACCCTTTGTCTGTTGTTTCGTTTGCAAATATTTTCTCCCATTCTGAGGGTTGTCTTTTCATCTTGCTTATGGTTTCCACTATGTATTCTAAATCCCCCTCACCCTCAGCTACTACCCCAGCAGATCAGCATGGCTTACCTGATAGTGCAACTCAAACTTTTATGTCTGAGGGGTCTGAACCTATTGATAATCATACCCTTCTCAGTCCAGGTTTGCTACATGTAACCATTCATAGTTATAATGGATCAAAAGAATTCCAGGAGGTGCTCAAGTGGATAGAAGAGGCCTGATGTACTCAACTTGCCACAAAGTGGCTGACTGCTCTCTTGGAGGAATAATTTCATAAAAGCAAGCTGTTCAAGACAGAGTGAACTTCACTAAAGCACTCACCAATTTCATAGCTTCTTTTCAAACTCAGGTAGTATAAATCGAGGTGCTATGGTCTAAATGATCACTCCCCCCTCCAAAAATTCATATGTTAAAAACCTAACCCCCAAAGATGATAATATATTAAGAGATGGGAACTCTGGGAGTTGCTTAGAATGGGATAAGTGCCTTATAAAAGAGACTCCACAGAGATCCCTGGCCCCTTCCACCATGTGAGGACACAGGGAGAAGGTGCCTGCTAATGAACCAGAAAGAGGGCCATCACCAGAAAGTGACCATGCTGGCACCTTGATCTTGGACTTTCCAGCCTCTAGAGCTGTGAGCAATAAATTTCTGTTGTTTGTAAGCTACCCAGTCTGTGGTATTTTGTTATAACAGCCAAATGCACAGGCAAATAAAATTAACTTTTAAGTTTTGCCTATCATTATGCTCTTTAATATTCTGGAACAAACTGACACTCTACTGAAGTTTAGGACAGTGGTTCTCTCTTGGATCCATGAGATCACAGCTATTTCATAATAATACTAAGATGTTATTTATGTTAACATCAACGGAGTCATCATTGCTAACTTTAAATAAATCAATAAAAAGGTCTTTAAATTTTCTTTGGTTCCATTTCCAATGTAAGTGTTAAGAAATCTGGAGATGAGAAAACCAGAGGATTTCTGCTTTAGGACAAAAGGTTTTTTTTTTCCCCCTTGGAAAAAAAAAAAAAGACATACATAGTTTTATTTCTCTATGACTGTTGCTCCTGGAATAGTCTCAGCCATTTATGTTGGATTACCTTTAACCAAAGCAACTAACTTCTGTTGTACAGAGAAAACTGGCGGATGGATAAATGAGAATTGCTTGTTGTACAGGAGCACTTTAGCAGACTAGCAAAGCTCATGAACACATATACTACACCTTTCTACAGCCACATACATCTCTTTCAGCTTCTTAAAGTGGCAAAGAGAACATGTTTATTACCATGACCCAAGTTATAGCCTCTCTATAACACATAAAAGTAAGAAGCAGGGCTTCCCTGGTGGCGCAGTGGTTGCGAGTCCGCCTGCCAATGCAGGGGACACGGGTTTGTGCCTCAGTCCGGGAAGATCCCCCATGCCACGGAGCAGCTGGGCCCGTGAGCCATGGCCGCTGAGCCTGTGCGATCGGAGCCTGTGCTCCGCAACGGGAGAGGCCACAACAGTGAGAGGCCCGCGTACTGCAAAAAAAAAAAAAAAAAGTAAGAAGCAAAACTATGTATACTTAAAACTATGCTTAGTAATAATCAACAATACAGTATTCTACATTACTTAGAAGTTATCTAGGTATTCAATGATTATCTAGTAATTAACCTAATATCAGTCCAATGTTGGGGTTTTTTTTGTTTTTTGTTTTTGTTTTTGGCCAAGCCACTCAGCTTGTGGGCTCTTAGTTCCCTGACCAGGGATTGAACCCATGCCGCCCTGCAGTGGAAGTACAGAGTCCTAACCACTGGACTGTCAGGGAATTCCCAGTCCAATGTTTTAAGTTAAAGAACTTGAAAATTAACTTCAGGTTACTACAAAACATACATACTACAAAATATAATTATTATTGAAATAAAAATGTTGTCAGTATAGTGATTCAATTTAGTTGAGCACAAATTTACATTTCATAATCTTAAATATTGTTAATGCCCTTCAGCCAAAGACCACCAGGAACACTCCTGTAGTTGAACAAGTTTGGTTTTGTACCAGGAGAGAACATACACCATAGGGAACTGTGGGGTGGCTCAGTAATAGGATGTTAGAAAGGACTTATACAACTAGGGGTTTGGTTGGGTGATTTTGGAGAAGGTATAGGAAGAGAGGGTTTACTCTAGGCGAAAGCAGGGACAGTCTATGATTATCTCGATACATCTTATTCATAGGGAAGGCACACTAATGCAAGCGTAGAGCTATAATTGGTAAAGCAGTATGAGTCACATACTAGCTGGTCTAGAGAGATATTTGGTATTTTATGGCTTGGACAATGTTCTTGTTTTGTCTATGTTCAGACATGATTACTGGAGTGAGCTCGTTTTTGTAATAATCTGTCATGGTCACAGAGTGGCCTTGTCTGATGTTGATGTTCTGTGAAATAGTTCATGTCCAACAGGAGAACATTAAGACCTAGCTGTGAGTGACAAGCCAGCTCATAGCAACACCAAGGCCCAGCAGAAGATAGCACCAGGCCAGCTCCTGGATGTCAGGGTCTGCTTTT